ACACACATATATATATATATATATATATATATATATATATATATATATATATATTCATAATATATATATTCTAAGAATGTGATAGAAAAAGTTTGATTGTATGTGTGCACACGTATAGGAAAACATATTATATTAAATACTTGACAAATTAAAAAAAATTAAAAATCATTAACAATGACAGACGGACAGCTCATATTTTGTGGGGTCTGCCACGTAACAAAACCATTATACACTGATTTCCCATTTTTAATGTGTTCAGGGTATAAAAAGTAGACGAGACTGCTCGGCTTCGAGGAGCTGTTCAGTTAAACATGATTTTATGATTCTAGCTGAAACGAATCCCATTGAAGCATATGGACAAAAGAATCTAGTATATGTATTCTTTTATAACTTGATTAGGTATTCATCCTTCTTTACTTTAATATATTTTACTACAACTATTGCACCCAATTTGGTATTCTTGAGATTCTTGGTTAGTAAATTTACTTCAAACAAGAATGGAAATTTTCTCGACTTACTTGCTTCACACGCTTTTGTGATGTACTAACTCTAAAGAGTCCAACTTTTTGTAGTCCATGTTCCTCCAAGTATTCTATACAAATAGTTACAAACATAGGAACATTCAATGCTGAATTATTTTTGGATTCTGTAAATAATATCCGATCGAGGTCGAGCTCAACATTTCGCATATCAGACTGACTTCTCGACATTTCCAATGACATTGATGAGGAATTTTGAAGATTGTTTAAGTAGTCTGTAGAAGAAGCCACCTGATCTGAAGGACTACAACGTCCGTAATCCATCGACTTAGTTGGCAAGCTCTCATAAGACCGCACCTACAAGTGAGCAATAAATGAGAAAGAATTCAGTCATTCTCGCTTTTTCTTGTTGATTATAACTTCACAGCTTTTACCAATGAATCTAGAATCTAGTATCTTAGAAATGTATACAGATGCAAAACAAAAATAAAATAAAATTCTTTAAACCTAATTTGTAAGAATTCACTATTGAAAGCCGTTAGCTGGTATGAAAATATATAATATTATTGTCACTATCAGTCTTATACAAATTCTTACATTATCATTCAGTTTTCCAACTCGATTTCTCCGAAGTACTGATGCCAGCGAATGTTTTGGGCTTGTTTCCACTTCTCCGCATTGTTTTTTGTCTCTTGATAAGCAGCACTCCAAAGAAGCTCCAAATAATTGATCTCGTCCAGCTTTTTTTTTTTTGTTAAATATATACATAAATTAGCAAGAAAAGAAAAACACGGAAGAGTGCTCTAGTCGACACTGCTCGACTAGAAAATCCCCTGAACTCTGCAAAGAGCTGATATTAAAGTTAAAAAAAGTAAGAACGTTGTAGTCGGGCGTTACCGACTGCGGAATACTCATGACCTCATCAGCAATTTGGTAGGTAAGTTTTGCTCTAATACTGTAGAAAATTCAGTTTTTTTTTTCAATTTGCCTTCATTGTTGGCCAGCTCATAGAACAAGCTAACGGTAACCTAAATTCAAAATTTGAATTCTCCCGCTAAAAAATGTGAAAACTTTTGCGGTTCTTCACGCCCCTTTTTGGCGGAGATAAATAAATAAGAGCTCGTTGGACTTGGGAGGTCAACCTGCGTATATATACCAAATTTCAGGTCTCT